AGAAGCACCTTCATGGAGTCTGGGGTCAGCTCCATGTTGCACTGCCAATTTGAAATGCCACGTGGAGCCAGCTGTCCGCAGGTTCCATGCAGCATTTCCCCAGAACCCAGAGTCAGCTGGGGACTTCCCAGCTGATCCTGGGTTCTGTGGAAATGCTGAGTGGAGCCTCCAGGATCAGCTGCGGAGTCCCCAGCTAACCCTGGGCTCCACATGGTGCTGGCGCTTTGAAATGTAGAGGCGGCATTTCAAAAGGTCAGCGCCACACAGCTGAGCCGGGCCTCAGCTGTGCGGCGCTGTCACTTTGAAACGCTCAGGATCAGCTGTGTAACGCTGCCACTTTGAAGTACCCCTTCTCCCCCCTCCCCACTCCCTCTGCCTGTGCATCTCCCCTTCCATTCATGCACAACCCCCTGCACTGCTGTGAAGAATCCGGTCTGCAGCACTGGAACACATAAACACTGGCTGTAGAGCACCCACGGGGATGCTCATCTTGAAGAACGTCCGTACGTCCGTTTCTGCTAAAGGTGAGTAACCTACTCTTACCTTGCTTGAAGTTATAAGAGGAAGCTGCGTGCCAGATTTGGTAGTCCTAGCTCTTACCGTTTAGGAGGAGTTCTTGAACAAACAGACATATAGTAGCTATATGGTAGATTGCTTATATTTATGATTGCTTTTGTTATTTTTTATATTTCCCTATACTTACTGTGGCAAATACCTTTAATATTGCAAATACTTAGGTAATCTAGTATTAAAGAATCCTGAATGTATGCCATTTGGCAAGTTTTTAGGGCACTCCTGTACAGATTCTCAGCTGATGTAAACTATCTTTACACCAGCTAAGTGTCTGCCTCCCTCAATTGTTTTAACTTCTGGTGTGTATGGGAATGTTATCCGAGGCACTTCCAAACGTGGTAATTACATAACTTTTCACAGAATGCCGATCACTGGAGCCAAGCAGTCAGTGTTGATCTGTTATGTTAACATGCTGAGGATAACAAAGGATACCAGATGCTCTATTGGTGGCTGGGTTGTTTTGCAACATCGCTGTCAGGAGCAAACAGACATGCTGTACTGTCTGTGAATGTGAGTTCAGTGTGCGGCATAACATGAATACAGAATCCCACAGAGGAAACCACATAGAATAAAAATTTCTACTGCCTCTTCCCATTATGTATTATCCTCATATAACTGACTCATGCTGCTAAAATGTTTAGTAATTAGAGGCAGAAGCAAAACTTTTTGTACTTGTGTTTCTGTAAGGACACTCTCCAACAGGGATTTTGAATGAGGAGGTGGAGGCGAGGGTGATTAACATTTTCAAGAGCCACCTATTCTCTGACATGGCTCATTAGTGGTCTCTTCCTTAATTTTAAGCTTTAATTTGGGAAAGTATTTACAGTGAATATATTTACAGGGAGCTGCATTACAGAGTGCTGACTTTGATCACAAGGGACCTGTTATCTGAAGTGCCTTTCCTCACTTGAGCTTTGTCAGCTCAGCTTTGATTAGCATCAGTGCAGCATTTAAACATGTTTTCACGAGTTGTATTTTTATATGAAAGGAATTGTTGTATTTCGCAATTACCTTGTTCTACATTAACTAACATTAATTAAGATGTTTAAGGATATTTTTTCTTGTGCCTTTTTTTTGTTTGTTTGTTTATAATAAATTAGTATGGGTCACAAAAAATAGGAGAGGAAGTGGAATCCTGGTATAGTGGAACACTTACACACCCAGAGGCTTTGGACAGTGATCCTATGAGGAATAGCTTATTAATCAGACATAAAGAAAATAAAAGATGTTGCTTGCACAGGATCATTTTTAACTTAACATCTATTGAATATGGAGTATTAGCGGACATGGGAATTTAACTTCCCTCTGAGATATTTAAATTAAAGTTTTACCATTACAATTTTTAGTCTGAAGGTAGAAAGTTGTGACTTGATTGCTACCCTGCTTTGGTGTTTGGATGCAATCACATCCAGTTCCAACAAAAATATTAACAACTGTGCAATACAACCAAGACATTATTATGTTTTAGCTCATTTTCAAATTGAACCTTCAGTGTAGTATTTATCTGTTTTTATACTATTGAATGTGATATAGCAATGGAATACAGTGTTATTTACATTACTTATTGCCTTTCAAGGGCATAACTGTTACATGACTCTGTATTTAAAAAAAAATTAGAAATATTAAGGTATACATATTGGAATTTACAGCCCCAGGAGGACCACAACCTGATTAATATTTGGGCATATTATCCACAAAATTATTGTATATTGTTGTCACTCCCTCAGTAACAGCACCAAATATTTTATTTCCTACGACTGTCTTCAAGAGTAAAAGTCTAACTGTTGATCAGAGGAAAAATAGGTCTGCCTTCACACTAACTTAAACAATTATTTAGAAAATATGTATTAATAATTTTGTAAAAGATTAAATAAAAATGTTAGTTTGATATCAACTCTGAATAGAAAGTTTTTGGATTTTTCCACTGGGATGTTTTTTGTGGTTGCTTTTATTTTTCTATTATCTGTGTATAATAGTTCGCAATATTTTAGTAACTTTTGTAATATTGTCATCCATTTTAAAAGTATTATGTACTGACCAGGAATTTGAAATACCTAATTAAGCATCACTTGATTGCTGTTGGTTTTGACCAAATAGTGTAATTCAGTTATACTGTTAAGAAAAACATTTAATTGGAAATACTGAGCTATCATCTAAGTATTTTAAAACTTTAGTCCATTTAAATCTGTTTAAGAACTCCTCTTAAACAGTAAGAGCTAGGACCACCAAAATTGGACAGTCAGTATCCAGCTTCTTCTTGTATCTTAAACGTAAAGCAAAGTAGGAGTTTGGTTGTGCCAGGAATTCAATTGTGTATCTGTCCCCCAGCTGGGGAACATAACACCCCTCCTCTGGTTGTGCCCACTGCAGCTGCAGCAGCCATAGACAGGCATTTCTGACTAAGGATGTTAAATATCGGTTAATTTGCTATCGGTCAGCTCCCGCAGTGGGGCTCTTGTACATTTTAAAGGAGAAATGCGGAACTCTGCATGCAGCCCAGGGCCAGTAGGAAGTCCCACTGATTTTGGGCTGCACGCAAGCGTGCTAGCTTTGAAATGTACAAGAGTCCCCAGTGAGGGCTTTTGTGCATTTCAAAGCAGAAGCACCTTCATGGAGTCTGGGGTCAGCTCCATGTTGCACTGCCAATTTGAAATGCCACGTGGAGCCAGCTGTCCGCAGGTTCCATGCAGCATTTCCCCAGAACCCAGAGTCAGCTGGGGACTTCCCAGCTGATCCTGGGTTCTGTGGAAATGCTGAGTGGAGCCTCCAGGATCAGCTGCGGAGTCCCCAGCTAACCCTGGGCTCCACATGGTGCTGGCGCTTTGAAATGTAGAGGCGGCATTTCAAAAGGTCAGCGCCACACAGCTGAGCCGGGCCTCAGCTGTGCGGCGCTGTCACTTTGAAACGCTCAGGATCAGCTGTGTAACGCTGCCACTTTGAAGTACCCCTTCTCCCCCCTCCCCACTCCCTTTGCTGCCTCTATCATATAGAGGCAGCGCAAGGGGGACAGGAATCGACTGGTCGCCTAGTCAACTGACTGTCCAATAAGTATTTGCTTATCAGATAGTTGACTGATCCTTAACATCCTTACTTCTGACCTGGCCACAAGTTGCTGTGGGGTGAGAAGGCTATGGTTGTCCTTTCTCCCCTGGACCGCCTGCATTCCGAACCCCCCTCATCCCAAACTCAACCCCGAAAAAATGATTTAAAGGAAGAAAAAGAAAACTTATTTGATTTAAGGACTTCAAGTGACAAATAAAAGTTGTTTGCGGGCTTAAAGTAATGTTATTTGGAATGTGTAATATTATTGTTATAAATACAACTATTATTATGAACAGCACAGAATATGTAATAACAAGTGTTTTCAATCTCCTGTACACATCTTCATTTTTTAGGGGTTCTAAGCTCTTTATATGTTTAGCAGGTGGTGTAGGTACATCAGTGAATCCCTCTGAAGTAATCATAAAAGTAAAGAGAGATAAAGAATATTAAAACTGCAATGCCAAGCACTCAGAAGTTAGAAAATACCAAAACTAGGGTGATCTGTGCAACACACATTACCCCACACTTTTTTCCTACCTGGCTCCCAGCCTCTGACTCTACCCCAGCCTATTCTCTCCACTTCCCTAGTCCAACTCGCTTGTTGCATCTACATTCAAATGAGGCAGCATCCTCCTTACTATCTTAGCCCAGCAGGGGCATTAGCAACATAGGAAAGATTGGGCCCATGCTCTCAACTCCTGTGCCAGCCTCAGCTCAGCTTGTAGCACTCCAGAGCTACAATTGCAAAGAGTCCTGCTCAGCCCTAGGCTGGAGTATGCGCAAATTGTGATTTTTTTTTTCCCCAAAGATGTATAACTTGAACAAACTGCCAGATTTTCACAGGTTGGGGAAAAGACACATCCCTGACATAAAGGTCATCCCCTGCCAAATTTAAAATCTCTGCTTCAAAGTGTAGTGAGAGTCACAAAGAAAAGGTTGCCAGAAGTGTCATGCAACCTTAACAAGCGCCAAGGCTCACTTGTAATTTGAAATTGTGTCTAGTATATGCAGCTTCCTGCTCCTGGACCACTACTAAATCCCGCCTTCACACCAGCTTTTTGGGAAAGCACAACATTCCTACCACTGCTCACTTGAGAGAGGACAGATGCCTCCTGCATTTCTGTTTCCCCATTAAATGCCTTTACAAAGTGTCTAAATGAGATTTAAATGGGTCAAACTTATGTACTTTATATACTTTTTGGTATCCCACGTAATTACATAAGAACATTTTTGTAAGATTATTCATCTGTGTGTTGTAAATTCTTTGATTTACTAAATTATCAGAGTATACACTGGAGACCAAATGTTGCAGAGATATCAACATCTAATACTAGTTGGTGTTTATCAGGATATAAATTGAAAGCTCTCTCTGACTGCTTTCTAAGGTGCTGAATATTCTGGTAAGGGCAGTGGTGGATGGACTGGCTGATCATAATGGAGAAGTGGCAACAGGATTGAAGGGGAAATTGCAAGAGCTATTTGGTAGAGTCACTTCAAGAGTAACAAGTGACGCAGACATCTGGAGACTGTATGCCAGACTCTGTGGAAATGGACAAAGTGATAACCCTGCAGATACTGAAAAGGTAAATGTTGAGGTTGTTTTTGTATATATTTTTTCCTAGAGAACAACAGAGTGATGTCCTCATGTCACAGCGTCCACAGGCCAGGGGGTAGGCATGGACAGGTAAAGCCCATTCCCTAGCCTTGCCCCTTCATCCCTGGAGCCAAACCCCACCAACTGCCAGCCTGGCCTTTTCTGGAGGCCACATGGAGAGTCAGGGCTGAGGCGCCACAGCCTCGGCCTGCAGAGCTGGGCTTGGCTGGGTAGCTGGAGGTTTAGGGTTAGGCTGGTGGAGGGCGGGGGGAAAAAAGGGCCTGAGCTAGTGAGAGGTTCTGGGCTGGTGGGGGGAGGGCCTGGGCTGGTTCAAGTGGAAGGGGACAGAAAGGTGGCTGGGCGGGAGAGCCAGGGTTGCCTACCCCCTGAGAGGGGGGGTTGGCAAGCATAGCGAGCAGGGGGCACAGCTCCCCTAGTTTTGTATTCCTAAATGTAATTTGTTATAGCAGTAGATGGCTGTTATCCTCTAGTGCTTTATCAAGATTCAGCAAGCACTAAGCCATTGTTCTTGTTTTTTGCTGCAGGAATTATGTCCTTTGGGTTTCATTCTCTATACAGTGAAAACTTTGTTATCTGGCATTCGGGGGGAACAGCGGTTGCCAGATAACAAAGCAGCCCATGCTGACTCCCTTTCAGGGGAGTAGGAAGTCGTGTCTCCAGGAGCAGAGTCGGCAGCCCATCTGTCACTCTGTTAAATTCAGACTTTGTTAACCAGCTGAGGGCAATGCAGAGAGAGAGAGAGAGTGTGTATTTTTTTTCTTTAGATGGGAGAGGAAGTTTCTTAAATTTTCCATCTGCTCCTGTGTACCTTAAAGTGGGTTTACTTCCTCCACTTAATTCTTAATCTGTTGACATGCCCGTGCTTGTGTACAGTTCTCCTCATAATATTCTGTTTCTATTAGCTTCTAATCCTCATTTCTTCCCCTTTCCCTCAGCCTCCCCTTTCCGAAGTAAGTGCCACACAACTGGGAGTGTTTACTTTGTTATTCATGCTTGATGATGCTTTACATTTGGTATTAAGTTTCCAAAATTCAAATACATGTGCACACTCCCAAAATATTCTGGGTTATCAGATCTTCACTGAACCTGACTTGTTGGCCAGGGATGAAATGTCAGGCAGAAATATTTCTCAATATTCTGTGATAAAACTACTTCTAATCACTTCATCCTTTCTCATTCTATTCTCTTCAAACTACAGGCAGTCCTCGACTTACGTGGATCCGACTTACGTCGGATCCCTAGATACGAACGGGGTGAGGCAACTCCCGCACATGCGCAGCAGCATTCCCGGGGCTTGCTCACCTGGGTCCTAGGATCCTCCTCCTCCTCGGGCCGGCTCGACTGGGGGTCCCGCAGAGCTGCCGGGCAGAGGAAAAGTGCCTCCCCACGCCCGCTGCCCC